ACCGGACGAGGCACCCGTCCCTCCCTCGTCTGCGCGCTATGTCTCGTCAGCGTCTTGTCTTAGGCCTCCCGCGTGTCTTGCCGTCGCTGCCGCCTTCGCTTGCACCGCCGTGCGGTCCCTGCGTCGAGGGTCGGCTGCGCGCCACCCCTCACTCCTCCTCCCTTCGTCCGGCCACCGAGCCTTTTGAGATGCTCCACTTGGACGTCTGGGGCCCCGCCCCTCGCCTTAGCTCTGAGCACGTGCGTTTCTTTTTGGTGGTCGTTGACGACTACTCCCGCTACACCACAGTGTTCCCCCTAGCGAAGAAGTCTGAGGTGACTTCTACGCTGATCAGGTGGTTGTTTACCACTGAGGGCACTCGTGGTCGTCGTGTCACCTGTCTTCACTCTGACCGTGGGGGTGAGTTTCGCTCCGGCATTCTCGCTGGATTCTATCGCGAGCAGGGCATTGGTCAGTCCTGGAAGCTTCCAGAGTCCCCACAACAGAATGGGGTTGCTGAGCGCCGCATAGGCTTGGTCATGGAGATCGCCCGCACCTCCTTGACTCACGCCCGTGCCCCCCATTTTCTGTGGCCCTACGCGGTTAGGTACGCCGCTCACCAGCTGAACCTCTGGCCACGCGTCTCTCCGCCAGAGGCTTCACCGACCAGTCTTTGGACCGGGTCCCCTGGTGTTGCGTCGAGGTTTCGTGTCTGGGGTTGCTTGGCTCTTGTCCGCGACACTTCCGCGGACAAGCTCTCGCCTCGCGCTGTTCCCTGTGTCTTCCTTGGTTTCCCTGAGGACTCCTCTGACTTCACCTTTTACCACCCTCCCTCTCACCGGTTCTTTGACTCACGTGACGTCCGTTTCGAGGAGTCCACCCCCTACTGCGTCAGGTACCCCAGTCAAGGTCTCCCGGTTCCTCCTCCCCCTCTCTTCCTGACTTCCGCTCCCCCTCCTGATCCCCCGGTATAGCCTCCCCCCCTGGTCCCGCCCCGTCAGGTGTGTCCCAGGCTACCCCTCCCCCCTCGGTAGCCCCTCAGGTGCATCCTCCTTCCCCGCAGTCCTCCTCGCAGCCTGCTGCAGACCCTGCGGGAGCTGGTGCTCGTGGAGAGGGCCCTACAGGTGCTAGCTCTGGGGGTGCTGGAGTTGAAGCTGAGCCTGTGGTTGCAGGAGACTCTTGTCTTCCGGGAGCTGGTGTTGGTCCTGCTGACTTTGGGGGTGCTACGTCTGGGGGTGCGGGTGCACCCTCTTTGGGTCCTGGTGAGCCTAATCGTGTTGCTGTTGGTGGTTCTGACTCTGGGGGTGGTGCGCCAGGTGCTTTGGAGGGCGGTCCTGGGGCTGCCGCAGCCCCCGACACTACTCCTCCCCCCCACCCCTACCCGACCCGGCACCAGGCTCGTGTTCGCCGTGCCCGTAAGGAGCAGTTGGAGTTGGAGAGAGAGGAGAGAGAGTTGCAGCGGCTGGAGGAGCAGCAGCAGCAGCAGGAGCAGCTGCAGCAGCTGCAGGTGGAGCCGCCGCAGCAGCAGGAGGCGCAGCAGCTGGAGCCGCTACAGCAGCAGGAGGAGCAGCAGCAGCCGCCGCAGCAGCAGCAGCAGCCGCCGCCGCAGCAGCAGCCGCCGCCGCCGCCGCCGCCGCCACAGCAGCAGCAGCAGCCGCCGCCTCCTCCTCCTGTCTCCGGTCTTCGGGCCCTCGGTCTCCCCTCCCACTCTCCTTCCTCCTCCCCCTCTCCTCCCGTCTCGGGTCCTCCGCTTCCTCCTCCTGACCCCTCCCCGGCTGTTTTCCCTCGTTCTCAGCCTCCGTTGTCCCCTCCTCCTCAGACTTGGGCCTCTCGTCGCTCCCCTCGTGCTCGTCCCTCGTCTCCTGTTCTTGTTACTGACCTTCATACTGCCCTCTTTCATTCTAGTCCGCCTCGTTCGTCTCCGTCTCTCCTTCCGTCTCCTCCTGAGTCGGCCTTCACTGCTTCTCTCTCTACTCCTGTCACTGACTACTACTGCACGTACCGTCTTGTTCTCTCTCGTGTTCTCGCCTCTCTTGTTACCGACCCTCGTACCTCTATCTCCTTTGTCTCCGCCCTTACTGCCGCAGTCACTGAGTTTGCCTCCACTCGCCGCCTTGACTACGCCACCGGTCTTGTGGCTGCTCCTCTTACCAGTCCTCTGGCCGTCGGGGGTGAGTCTGCCCTTGGCTGTGACACCCTAGAGGACAGGCAGTTTGAGCTAGAGTTCCTGGCAGCCGCTTCCCCACATCTCTGTGCCATGCTGCTCGCCCCTGAGGGAGACCTCGACGCCCTTAACATACTGACTCCTCGCACTTACGCTGAGGCAGTGTCAGGGCCTTGGGCCTCTCAGTGGAGAGCTGCCATGGACGCAGAGATGGCCTCCTACAGATCCACAGGCACCTACGTCGACGAGGTTCCCCCCCCTGGGGCGAACGTAGTTGATGGCATGTGGATCTACTGGGTGAAGCGGCCACCGGGATCTCCTCCGGTATTCAAGGCGCGCTACGTGGCTAGAGGTTTCAGTCAGCGCGAGGGAGTTGACTTCTTTCAGACCTTCGCGCCTACCCCGAAGATGACCACTCTTCAAGTGTTACTGCACGTAGCAGCACAGAGAGACTACGAGTTACACTCTCTCGACTTCTCCACTGCTTTCCTTCAGGGTAGCTTACACGAGGAGGTCTGGCTGCGTCGTCCCTCTGCCTTCACTGACACTTTCCCTCCTGAGACTCAGTGGAGGCTCAGGCGACCTGTCTACGGTCTTCGTCAGGCTCCTCGTGAGTGGCACGACACTCTTCGTTCTACCCTCTCTGACCTTGGGTTCCAGCCGTCTTCTGCCGACCCGTCGCTGTTCGTTCGTCGTGGCTCCACACCGTTCTTTGTTCTGGTCTACGTCGACGACCTGGTTTTCGCCACTGCTGACAGGGTTGCCTTGGCAGACGTGAAGTCCGAACTGCAGAAGAGACACACGTGCACTGACCTTGGTGAGCTGCGCCACTACCTTGGCCTGCAGATCACCAGGGACAGAGCTGCTCGCACCATTACACTCTCACAGTCACACATGGTGCAGCAGGTCCTTCAGCGGTTCGAGCTTCAGCACTCCACAGTACAGCGCACACCTCTTGCTGTTGACCACAGACTTACTGGACCCTTTCCTGACGAGCCGTTTGAGTCTAGTGGTCCCTACGCAGAGCTGGTGGGCTGCCTCATGTACCTGATGACTTGCACTCGCCCGGACCTCGCCTTCCCTCTCAGCATCCTTGCTCGCTTTGTTGCGCCAGGGAGACACCGTCCTGTTCAATGGACGGCAGCTGTGAGGGTGGCGAAGTACCTAGCGACGACATCAGGCCTGGGGCTAGTTCTTGGAGGGCAGCAGCCTGTCGTACTTACTGGTCACTGTGACTCTTCTTACGCTGACGACGCTGAGACTCATAGGTCTACTCAGGGGTACTGTTTCAGCTTGGGTTTTGGAGCTGTTTCGTGGCGGTCCACGCGCTCCTCTTCGGTCTCGACCTCTACAGCTGAGGCTGAGATCTACGCTGGTGCCATGGCGGCACAGGAGCTGCGTTGGTTGACCTTCTTGCTCGCCGACCTTGGTGAGCGGCCGAGCTCTGCACCAACCTTGTTCACTGACAACAAGGCATCGATTCTCCTTTGTCGAGAGTCGCGACTGGAGAGCAGAGTGAAGCACATTAACGTCAGATACTTTCTTCTGCGAGAGTTGCAGAGACGTGGACAGGCTCGCTTCGAGTTTGTGGAGTCCGAGGCCAATACTGCAGACATCTTCACCAAGGCGCTTCCGCCTTGTGACCACCAGAGGTGTTGTGTGCAGTTAGGCCTTGTTGACACAGTTTCTAGTCGTGTATAGGCTTGAGTCTACTGTTTGCTTTGCTTGTACTCTTGCTATACACACTTGTGAACTCTCGAACTGGCCTTGTGGCCCCTGTTGCTTGTGCTCAGAGTGTGTGGTGACGTTGTGATCCACCCTGAGCTTTGTTTCTTTGTGACTGGTCTTGTGACCGTACACTTTTGGTTTTGCTTGACACCCCTTACTTAGGCTATGGGGGTGTGTCAAATGTTGTAGCCTGTAGTGAGGTTTGTCTTAGGGGGTACAGATGTTAGGGTTTGTTATATGTACCCCCACCCACATCAATGAACCAACACTTTCATTCTTGACAGGGGTCACTATTTTAGCTGCTGGCTTTAAGAGAATGGATGAATCCGCAAAAAGGCACGCAGCACCCTGAAAGTCAGCTTTTCTATATCCAAATCAAATTGGAAAGCCTGACTTCTGGGGCCTATAATGATAGGGTATATAAAAGAATGCTAACAAGACCCATTTGTCAAAGAATCGAATGACTTGACCGTGATCTCCCGGTTAAAAGCCCCGGGGGTCTTATCCTAAATGTGCTTGAAATGGGTTGTGGGGTCTTATGTAATGGCATATAGTGCATAAGACCCCTGGACATCTATTAATTACTAAAAAATGGATTGTGTAGTGCAGTGTTGAAGAAATTCGAAAAATTCTGTACCAAATTTTGGATTCCTTCACAGCGCGGAAATTCATTCCCTGATTCTCGCACTCGAGTCTCCCTGATTCCTTTCCGCACGTTCAGAAATGCCGAATAATGACAGGCACGTCAGCATTTCTTGCCTGAAGGGCGGCAAAAACGGTGGATTGATGTGGCATCTTGACTCCCTTGACCACAAATTCGCCTAACAAAGTGAATTTGGTGGTTTTTTGTGTGACTCGCTAACCAGCTCATGAACTAACACCACTCTGAATAGCCTGAGGGGGGGTCTTATAATGATTTGGGTCAAAAGACGGTTCCTCTCCAGGACTGACCTAATAAAAGACCCCTGGTCCGGATAGAAGACCCACGGGGCTTTTATGCGGGGGGGTCTTGTAACCGGGAGATCACGGTGAATGGGAATATACTAAGGGGGTATATGCAATCGCATAGCCTCTATGGTGCAACCCTAGCTAGCCCCTCCAAGGCATTCATAAAAAATATTACCGTAGATCATTGTTCCACCTGAGCAAGCTTCCAACGATGCACGCCAGCAGTGCAATCCTTTGCCTCCACTCCCCCCATCTCCAATATTCTTGAAACCAGCCTTGCCCCATGCACCCTACCTTCACATCCACTCGCCGAAGCAGTCGCTGCACTGGCTGTGGAGGGAAAGCGAGATACAAATTGTGCAGCAGGTGGAGTCCCGGAAGATGGGGACCCAGCCGATGAGAGTGCAGGTGGTGGGGCACAGCTGGGTGCGGGCATTGCACGTGCAGCAGCAGCCATCCGTTCACCTCCATCCGCACCAGTGCTGCCTGCTGCTGCACATGCTGTGTCACTGCTGACGCTGTCATGAGCAGCACAAGGCATAGGAGAGCTAACCATATGCACCGCAGCAGCAGCAGCAGCACAAGGCGATGCAGCGCTAGCAACAGCAGCAGCCACTGCGGCAGCAGCATCATCACCGGCAGCACCACTGACAGCAGCAGTAGCAGTAGGCACAGCAAGGTGGGTGAAAGGCGAGGTGATAGCGCCTCCGCGCATCCCCTGTGGCACGGCATGGAAGGTGAGAGGGAATGGCACATAGGCCCGAGGCATGAACACAGGGCCTACCACAGGCGCACACACCCTCTCTCCAAATGTCGCTGACAGCACACGCCCCTCATTGCCTGCTCCTATCCTCCCCCCTCCGCCACCACCACCACCACTGACTGCTTGTCCTTGCGCAACCCCTGCGGCTGCCCCTCCTGCCACCAAGCCTGAGCCCCCACCCGGCCCACTTCCATCTGCAGCCTTGCCGTTGCAGCCCCCTGTACCCCCTCGTGCCTCACCCGCCGCATCTGCCCCGGCGCCCCCCTCATCGTGTGCGTCCTCCCCTTTCCCCCTGGGCACAATGCGCCTCAGGTTCGTGGTGGCTCCGCACGGGCCGTTGCGAGGCGGCGGCTTCTTCTGGCGGCCGCGCTTCCTCTTCATGACGGGCTCGCCCGCCAGCCCCAGCAGGTGGCGCCGCCGCGCCATGGCCGTGGCCGTGGCCGCCGCCATCATCAGGGCCGCGGCGGACCGCGCCGCACACGTGGGGTGCAGCGAGGGGGGCGCGGGGTACAGCGCAGGGGGGGGTGGGAAGAGGGGGTGGTGCATGTGCGAGGGGTCGAGCCCGAACATGGGTGATGCGTGGGCAGAGGAGGCGGGTGCTGGGGCACGGGCAGCAGGTGCTGTGGATGGCACAGCAGCAGCAGCGGCGGTGGTGGCGGGCGCAGAGGGTGGAGTGGCAAGAGCAGCAGGGAGGGCGGAGAGCAACCTGGGGCTGTGAGTGAGAGGGCGCATGGGCACTGGCAGGCTTGCACCCATCACTGCTGACACCGCACCTGCTGGCGGGTAAGGCAAGCTTGGAGGGTGAAAGGGCGGTTGCACGAAGAGCATGGGGGCCATGAGGGGAGCGGCGGGTTGATGCCATACGGGATACGGCACGAATCTGGGCGCGCCTGCCCCGCCACCAACTCCTGCTGCACCACGACCCTGCCCTGTGCCCGCTGCCACTGCGCCACTGCCCTCCCTCCCCCCTCCTGCACGTGCCCCCACAGTGGCCGCGTCACGCACTTTCCGTGCCTCAATCGCTGCCGCCTCGCTTCCCGCGCTTGCCCCACCCGCTGCTGCTGCTGCTGTTGCAGCCGCTCTGCTGCTGCGCTGCCGCCTCTCACGCCTCTCCGCTCCAGCGCTGCTTGGGCCGTCCGCACCACCACCCGCGGCTACAGGCGAGGCGTGTAGTGGAACAGCAGATTCGGGTGTGTGGGGAGAAGCAGCAAGCGGGGAGGCGGCGGGCCAGGGAGCAGCGGGTAGCGCAGCAGCAGGCACTGCAGGCAGTGTCTCTCTTTCTCCATCTCGTGCTGCTGCCTCTGCCGCCGCTGCATGTGGTGATGCGCGTGGCGTTGCTGCTACCCCTTGACCGCACAGGCACGCTGCATGCGCCCCCTGCACGCCCTCATGCTTCTCCACCTGCCACTGCATCTTCTCCTCATCACCCTCACTCCACCCACCGCTCCCATCCGCCGCCCCTACATCCGCCCACTCCCCCTCCGCCATAAGATCCCGCCCGTGCGCTCGCCCCTTCGCGCCCATTCCTCTACCCTCCCCCTCTCCCTCCCCCAACCCCCCATCCCAGCGGGCATGCGCGCCCTGCCACACGCGAGCGGGTCGCTCATCCCCCTGCCGACCGCCGTGCTGTGCATCCTCCCACACATCCAGCCCGCGGAACCACGCTGCGGAGAGGGAGATGTGCAAGACGGGGCGATGGGAGGCGGTGAGAGGGGTAGATGGGACGGGAAGATGTTGGATGAATGTAGAGGTGGAGAGGAAAGCGAGCGTGAAAGCACAACGCGCACGCCCACCTGCAGCGGGGTATGCGCCGCACCACAGCCACGCCTACTCCGGGGCAGCGCTATGGACCACCTCCCCCCCCACCCCCATTCCCCCCCCCCCTCCGCACACCTTCCCGCACTTACCGTCTGGCAGCGCCGCCCAGAGCAAGCCTTCCGCCGCCGCCCCCTCGCCGCTCGCGCCATCCATCGCCGCCTGCAAGCCTCCGCGCGCCCCGGCCCCAACGGCGCTCTTTTCCGCTGCCACAGGCGCCGTTCCCGCACCGAGTCCCGACCCCGATTCCGCGCGCTGCAGCAGCGCCACCGCCTCGTTGCCCCAAGCCGCATCCGTACGGCCGGCGGGTGGCGGCGAACGCTGCTGGAGCGGCTGGCGCGGCGACGACTCGGCGGTGGCGATGGGCGCAGTAAAGGGCGCGGGAGAATGCGCGGAACGGGGAGCGGAGAGCTGGGCGGAGGCGGGCGGCTGGTGGGCGTGCATGCCGTCGCCGTCCATACGCGCTAGCAGTGACATCAGACACCCGCCGCGCACGCGCGCATCTGACGTCAGCGCCTGGTGCGCGCGGCAGAAGCTGTTCGGCTGCGGGTCGCTGCCCCCGTCGGCCCGGTCAGCGACGTCTTCTAGCCCGGCGGACATGCCGGCGGGGTTGACGGCGCGGGAGACGGCGACTTGGTCGCAGGCGGGCCACGCGCACCACGCCAGGTCGTCGGGCAGGCTGAGGTACTCCGACAGCTCGAAGCCCTCCTCCATGTCCTCCGCGCGCGCGCCCTCCGCCCGCTCCGCTTCTCCCATCCCTTCCGCCCAGCATCCCATTGCCTCCCCAATGCCTTCCCCATTTGCTTCCTCCCACCCTACCGCCGCTGACGCCACCGCGTGTGCGGCGGAGGTGGGATGGTGGTTCGCGGGGTGCGCGGAGCTAGCGGCGACGACTACTGTGCTCGGCGGGGCGCCGGCCGACCGTCTCTTCCCGCAGCTGCTGCTTCCGCCACCCGCTCCAACTCTATCGTCACGCGCTTCAGCCGTTCCCCATTGCCCCTGGCGCGCGCCCACGCTGTCCGCCGTGCGCTCTAAGCAGTCCGCGACGTGCTCCGGCGTGGCGGATGGCGAGAACGGCCGCTGGTGGAGCGCCGAGTGCTGGCAGCTCGTGCTAATGCTGCTCGCGCTGCTTCCGCGCGCCACACCATGTCCCGCCGACGCCTGCGCGGAAAGATGGACGCGCGGGAGACGCGCGGGGAACGGAGTTTCTGCAGCGTGAGATATTCCGCTCTCTCCCATCAGCAGCGCGCCGCGCTCGAACGCGAAGAGTGGATCGGCGCACCCCCACGCTGCGAAACGGCCGCAACGGCTGCCAGACGAAAGCGACCCGGGCAAGCCCGACGGCGTGGTGGCGGAGGGCGCGGACGACGCGTTCGCTGCGGACTGCGGCAAGCCTTGGCCGGGCAGTGCGGAAGGGGCCACGGAGGCGAGGCGGCGCGACGCTGCGCATTTGGTCCAGCTCTCGCTGACGACGCTGGCGAGATCCGAGTCGTCCAACGAGAGCGCCGCGGCTGTGGCTGGCGCAGGCGGCATGCGACCCGATCCGAAGACGGCGCTGCTGCGAGGCAACGGCGGCTCCTTGACCATCCCCCCGTGGGCTCGCGCCCCGCATCCACCTGCTCCGCCCGAAGGGCCGCCAAGGAGCTGCTGCTTCGCGCCTCCCAGGCCGGCAGGCGGAGAGAGGCGATCCGTGCGGGTGGCGTGGTGGGTGGGGTGGTACATGGCGGCGAGGCGGCCTCCACTCACGCAAAGCGCTGGCGAGCCTGGGCGCCCTCGTGTGCGATCCAGCTCGCCCTGCGCCGCTCGGGTTCAGCAATGCAGCTTGCACTGCACGGAGGGTTGCGATCTAGCTGCTACGGTGTTTCCCTGACACCGGCGGCTGGTGAGAACTGAATGTCACGTGAGTCTAAGTGACTGGTGAGGTAGCTGCCAATCACTCGACGCGCTCACCCCACCGTGTGTGGGCAACGGGTGCGAGGACGCGCCGCTGGTGGCGATGGTTCTAATCGGAGGCGAGACGGGATGGAGATCGGTGATCGGTGCAAGCACTGCTTTCCACTGCCTCCGTGATCGGTGCTCACAACGGCAGGTGTGCGCGGTGACTCGATGCAGAGAGAGGAGGCAGATGACAGGGGAGGTGAGTGGAGGGGGTTGGTGGAAGGGTACAAGGAATGCGATCCCGAACGCTGAATTGGTGATCGGCGATGAGAGGGGAGGGGAGGTGAGGCAAGGCAATGGCAGCAGGAGGAGCAGCAAGGTGGGACGGCGCATGCACCGAGGGGTGGCACTGGCAGAATTGTGCTGTTCGCGCTTGTGCCTCCGCGAGCTAGCTTCTCCGCGCCAGAGTGTCGGCGGACGGATCACAAGTGGGGGGTGGGGTGGGGTGGGGAGGGGAGGGGAGGGGAGGGGAGGGGAGGGGAGGGGAGGGGAGGGGAGGGGAGGGGAGGGGAGGGGAGGGGAGGGGAGGAGAGGGGAGGGGAGGGGAGGGGAGGGGAGGGGAGGGGAGGGGAGGGGAGGGGAGGGGAGGGGAGGAGAGGGGAGGGGAGGGGAGGGGAGGGGAGGGGAGGGGAGGGGAGGGGAGGGGAGGGGAGGGGAGGGGAGGGGAGGGGAGGGGAGGGGAGGGGAGGGGATGGGAGGGGAGGGGAGGGGAGGGGAGGGGAGGGGAGGGGAGGGGAGGGGAGGGGAGGGGAGGGGAGGGGAGGGGAGGGGAGGGGAGGGGAGGGGAGGGGAGGGGAGGGGAGGGGAGGGGAGGGGAGGGGAGGGGAGGGGAGGGGAGGGGAGGGGAGGGAAGGGGAGGGGAGGGGGGGGGAGGGGAGGGGATGCTGTGGTCCCAGACAGGGCTTCCCCAAGATTCACGGAGATTTCTGGCAACAACTACGGGCGGGGTAGGCGGAAAGGAATACAGTGCTGTCCACTTTCACCATTGTTGGGTGTGATTGTTAGAGAATACAACATGCTGAATGAGGGACACCGTAGACGATTTCAGGTCTGAGAACTGAACGGGAGTGTAACCAACCTTAGTGAGGTCAATTTCACGGGTGTTTTGAGTGTGAATCGAGCAGCGATGGTGGGGCAGGGATACATACGCGAGGTGCAGGATCCGATGTACATACAAACAGGCGTGGCGTGATCCCTCAATTTTGTTCGAAGTTCAAACATTCACAGCTATGAACAGTATAAGATCCTACTCTGAATCACCTTTACACCCAATTATCTATAACAGGTACTCGAATTATTCATGGTGATAGCTAAGCATGACAATATATTTGCCTAGTCGCGTTTCCCGCATATCACTTGCAATGTTGACAGTAACGCTTTGGACTGGTAGACATGTTAATTACGCGGAGATTGTTGAGTTTCCAGGCGCATATTTTGTGCATTCAATTAGTAATTCATAGTGTCTCGTAAAATCATCCATTCGGTTATGTAACTTGCAAACCAGTGACTAAAGAAAATAGAGGTTGTCAGAACATTATATAGCTTATGCTGTTGTGTAGGCTATAGTGGGGTATCCCATAGGGGGTACAACCCAATTAGGGTTTCCTATATGTACTCACTTCATTCATAGTTCATTCAATTCGCGTTCTCCTTCCCACATGGAATCAGAGCAGGTCCCCTCCTAGGGACTGTTTCTAGAGCCCACCGAAGCGCGCCCCGAGGCGCGCTTTCCTTTTTTTTAGCGACCCTCCGTGTCGCCCCTAGCGGCCCGTTGCGCCGCCCTTACCTACGCGAGCCCGCCGCCCTTACGTCGCGGCCCAGCCGCCCTCACGTCGCGGCCCCGCCGCCCTCACCTACGCGGCCCCGCCGCCCTTAAGTCGCGGCCCCGCCGCCCTCACGTCGCGGCCCCGCCGCCCTCACCTACGCGGCCCCGCCGCCCATAAGTCGCGGCCCCGCCGCCCTCACGTCGCGGCCCCGCCGCCCTCACGTCGCGGCCCCACCGCCCTTGCCTACGCGGCCCCGCCGCCCTCACCTACGCGGCCCCGCCGCCCTCACGTCGCGGCCCCGCCGCCCTCACGTCGCGGCCTCGCCGCCCTTGCCTACGCGGCCCTGCCGCCCTCACCTTCGCGGCCCCGCCGCCCTCACGTCGCGGCCCCGCCGCCCTCACTTTGCGGCCCCGCCGCCCTCACCTACGCGGCCCCGCCGCCCCACTTCGCGGCCCCGCCGCCTACGGTACCGGCCCCGCCGCCTATCCTCACCGGCCCCGCCGCCTACGACCGCCGAGCCGAGCCGCCCTGCCGCCGAGCCGCCCTGCCGCCGAGCCGCCCGGGAGCCGAGCCGCCGAGCCGCCCTGCCGCCGAGCCGCCCTGCCGCCGAGCCGCCCGGGAGCCGAGCCGCCCAGCAGCCGAGCCGCCGAGCCGCCCAGCCGCCGGGCCGCCCTACTGCCGAGCCGCCCGACCTGCCCTGCCTGGTGAGCACAGCACCACTGTTACTGCGTGCCCTTCCCCTACTGCTTGCACTACTACACTGTCGTCGTCATGGCTACCCCTAGTGTCCTCGCTTTTGACGCTGAGGGTCGAGCCATTGACTTTGAGGTCTGGGTCGACGACCTGCAGCTGTTCTTACAGTGCGATAGGGCGGACGGTCTTTCCCTCTTTGACCTCACCTCTGGCGCCTCTCCTGCCCCTGCTGCTGATGCTGACCCCACTGTTCGCTCTCAGTGGGCCACCCGCGATGCTGCTGCACGTCTTGCTGTGCGTCGCCACCTGCCTACCACTGAGCGCGCGCACTTTAGTCAGTACAAGAGTGCTCAGACCTTGTACGACGCTGTAGTTGCGCGCTACTCTTCCCCTGCCACTGCTGCCCTGAGCCGCCTCATGCTACCGTACCTCTTTCCTGACCTTGCTGCCTTTCCCACTGTCGCTGACCTCATTACGCACCTCCGCACTAGTGACACTCGCTACCGCGCCGCCCTTCCTGCTGAGTTCTGCGCCAAGAACCCCCCCCCCCCCATGTACATCACTCTCTATTACATAGTCACACGCCTCCCTGACTCCCTTCGCGTAGTCAGGGACCACTTCCTCTCAGTCTGTCCCACCACTCTCACTGTCGACCTCCTCGAGAAGTCCCTCCTGGCGGCGGAGAAGAGCATCGTCGCTGTAGGAGCCTCTCGTGGTGACCCTCGCACCCCCATCTTTGAGGGGTGTTCTCCTTCCCCCCTGCTGCCCTCTGTTGCCTCTGCTGCTGCTGCCGACCTGCTTGGTCTTGAGTCGGTCTGCGCGGCGTCTGCCCCTAGCGGGAGACGCCGCCCTGGCAGGGGCAAGGGGGGCAAGGGCGCGGGTGGAACTGGCGGGGGCGGTGGAGGTGGCGGTGGAGGCGGCGGAGGGAGTGGGGGTGGCGGTGGGAGTGGTGGCGGGGACGGTGGTGGCGGTGGCAGCAGCGGAGGAGGAGGCGGTGGTGGCGGCAGCGGTGGGAGCGGAGGCAGCGGTGGTGGTGGAGGTGGAGGCGGCGGTGGCGGAGGGGGTGGAGCTGGTCGGGGTGGTGCCCCGCAGCGTAGCGGCTCTGGTGGTGGCCAGCGTCAGCAGCAGCAGCAGCAGCAGCAGCGTTCGCGGGACATCCCCCCGCCCCAGCAGCTCCGTGAGTGGTACACGCAGCGTCAGCGGGGTGGGGGTTTTGGTCCGTGCACCTACGTCCTTCGTTCCGGCGACCGCGCGGGTGAGCAGTGTGGGGGTGCCCACCCCACCCAGCGCTGCTTTGGCCGCCTGACGGACGCTTGGCGTCAGCAGTTCCCCGAGGCTAGTGAGATTCCCCGTTGGGGAGAGCTGTCTAGGGCTGGCGTAGCTATCTTTGATCTTGACTTTGATGCTATCCTTGCTGCCATGTATGCTGTGACTATTAGTGAGGAGGGTGACTGTTACCAGTGTTTCCCGCCCGACCCGGGCATTGGTACTGCTGCGCTAGGTACTTCTGCGGCTGCTGCTCTAGGTGCCAGTGCGTCTGCACTCTCAGGTACTGGTGAGGCTGCGCTCTCAGGTACTGCGTCGGCTTCGGCCTCCCTCACCTTCACGCTTGACTCAGGGGCTTCTCGCTCCTTCTTTCGAGACCGCACCACACTCACGCCGCTTGGCCGGCCGGTTGCAGTCTCCCTGGCTGACCCCTCTGGGGGTCCTGTCCTCTCTCACTTCTCCACTGTCCTCCCGTGTCCGGCTGCCCCCTCGGGCACCTTGTCTGGTCTGTACCTCCCCTCGTTCTCGACGAACTTGGTGAGTGGTGCTGACCTGCAGGATGCGGGGGTTCACCAGTTTACTCCTGCGAGTCAGCGGGTGACCCACTGCTCGGACGCCCGCACAGGCCGACACCTGGCCACGTTTTCGCGTCGGCCGGGGTCGAGTCTCTACACCCTGACCACTGAGTCTCCTCCTGTCCCTGCGTCTGGCCAGGTAGCTGCGTCGGGTCAGGTGTTTGCTGCTGCGTCCAGGTCTGGTCCTGAGTCTGCCCCCTGCTCGTGTCGCCGCCTGTCTCAGGAGACTCTCCTATGGCACCACCGTCTTGGCCACCCCTCCTTGCCTCGTCTTCGGGGCATGGCTTCCCGTGTCCTTGTCTCTGGTCTTCCCCGGTCTCTCCCTCCCCTTCCTTCGGGACCCGGACCTTCCTGTGTCCCCTGTGTCGAGGGGCGGCTCCGGGCTGCCCCTCACTCCTCCCAGTTTCCCCCGACAGAGGCTCCTCTGCAGACGCTTCACATGGACGTGTGGGGCCCGGCCCGCGTCCGTGGGCAGGGTCACGAGCGCTACTTCCTGCTGGTGGTTGACGACTACTCGCGTTACACCACAGTCTTCCCCTTGCGCAGCAAGGGTGAT